CAGACAGAAAGGACGATTGCAGTGCAGCCAAGAATTCAACAAGCACGTAATAGTAATTCCAAAGGATGAGCATTTCACGGAACTGCTAATACGTCATGTGCATAAAATGGTATCACACGGAGGAGTTCAAGTGACGCTAGCGCAACTTCGAACTAAGTTCTGGATATTGCAGGGTAGACAAGCAGTGAAAAGAGTTCTAAACAAATGTGTCGTCTGCAAGAGGCATAACTCCAGACCGGCAACTCAAGACATACCTCCACTTCCGGCAGACAGAGTCACTGAAGCAGAGCCATTCAAAGTTACGGGAGTTGACTTCACAGGACCTCTTTACGCAAAGGACAAGTACCAGATTGTGAAGCAATATGTACTGATATTCACCTGCGCGGTAACAAGAGGAGTACACTTGGAAGTTACCAACGATTTGTCATCGTCGAGTTTCGGGGAATACCAGCCGTAATATACTCGGACAACGCCAAAACATTTATAAAAGCTGGAAAGGAAATCAACAGAATGCTCGAAACAATTAACAACGAGGTCTTAAAGAATTACTGCAGTGGCCAACAAATTAAATGGAAAACAATAGCCGAGTGCGCGCCATGGTGGGGAGGATTTTACGAGCGCCTCATAAGAAGCTTGAAGACGTCGATGCGAAAAATAATATCGAAAAGCACAGCTTCGGTAGAGGAGCTACGCACTATTGTAGCAGAAGTTGAAGGAACACTCAACAATCGACCATTGACTTAAGTATATGGAGAGCCTGACGAGCCAATGCCACTGACGCCGGCAGACATCATAGGTGGACGGCGACAGCTTCAAGGCGGACAAAAAGGACTATACAACGGTGACATTGAAGACGCATGGCGACGCAGATGCAAACTCGTGCGCACTTGGTGGAAAAGATGGCATCAAGAATATATCAAGGAAATAGGAGCTACGGTCAAAGCCAAGACACGGCAAGCAAAACCACTCTCACAGGGTGACATAGTGTTGGTTGAGGACAAGGCTCCAAGAACATTTTGGAAAATGTGCCGGATTGAAAAGCTCTACCCTGGGCGAGACGGAATAACAAGAGCTTGTCTCCTTCGCACAGGCAAAAAAGAGCTTCTAAGAACATCGGTGAACCACATATACCCAATGGAAGGTTGTTTCAAATAGCCCGCGAGAGCTTATCACATTTCAACTTGGGCGGGCGGGAACCTATAAAATATCATCATCAAACGCCGCAAGAAGAAGAAAGAAGACTGCTGCCGGGAGCGAGCACGCGCTACTTCACTTCTTCTAATAAACCGTATTCGTTCGAAGCAGTCCCTGGTCTCGATCGTCTTAATAATAACCAATGGGCGGCTGGTCTCGCACGGGGCGTGATTTTATCGCATGCACCCTTCATCTGACAAGGATGTATGCTCGTTTTATTTATGCAGAAACAGCGGAGCTGTGCCTCTCCTGCGTTTTAAAGACGATATTCTCTCTTGGGGACCTTCGACGCAAAAATTTTTGTCTGTTTGTTCACTCTTAACGGTACTGGGCACTTAAAACGGCATCAGCGGATACCCCGAACGGCCGACCCCATCCGCAGCGCCCACCAGTGTTGCTCAAGATTCAGCATTCATATTTGTGCGATCGTCAATTAAAAAGCAATCATCGCGCATATCTGAGGCACCATAACAACACCTTTATATTGTGTATGTGCGTCTTTTACTAGAAAAGGCATACATCGGTTATTCTAAGTACCGTAGCATTTATCACGCGGCGCTGAGCATGCACCGCTTGCTTGCACGAAAATGGAAGTATTCCCAAGGCTTTGCTAGGACGACACGGTGGTGGCACCTACCCGTCGCCTAGCGTTCTACACCTTATAACCTCTGAGAAGGGCACTCACGCCCGTCTCAAAGCCGCGCGTTTCATTATGCAAGATAACTGCCAGATAGCACTCTTGTCTCACATGTGACGCAACTTGGTGCACTCGTTCGCCTCCGCTGCACGCTCTAGGCACTCTAACGCAGCGCCTCCAGAATACCATTCACCGCTTTTCTTGCGCAGAACATCAAATAAACGTTTTGTTCAATCTCTCCAGACGCAAGACTACCGTCTTTAGACGACATTTGCAGATGAACATGAAGATACAGCACCAATTTTTTTCTTGCTATCCTCTTTGATTTGTTGGAATTTTCTGTGAGTGTCTTTGATCATGTTGTCTTACAGTAAGGTGAGCGGGAAAATATGTGCAGCAGCCCCTGCCGCACGCGCCCCTGTTACAATGCCCTGAGACCCCATTCACGCTCTAGATGCGGCTTTGTACGTGACTGATTTGGTTACGCCATCGGTGGGTTGTCTTACTTACCAGAGCATCACATTGGACGGGGACACTCATCTATCATTAGAGGTTTTTAGCTTGTACGTATGGTTTTTACGTTACCGTGTTAGCGCACACCCCAAGAAATCTGCGTATACGTGGGCCTTTTCGAAACGTAGACTTCTTTAAGAAATGTAAACTACTCGCCTGATGGGCTTTAAATTTACGGCTCAACCTCGAAAATAAACCTTCATTTGTGGCTACGCGCGATGTCCGCTCTGCGAAAACTCTAGTAGCCAAGTCCAAATCAGGCGAAATACAACTATGAATTGCAGTCATCCTATTTCTGCCGACTTACCTTAGCTAGAATTACCTATAACGCCTAAAATACTGGAGCCGTAAACGTGAGAGGCCTAAAGCCCCTGATAGGCTCAATAGGTGTCCCCATCTAGCGGGGTTTAGTTTAATCAGGCAAGCATAAGAATATTATTGCAGAAACATCGTTCATTTTACTACTTGTGTATATAAGTGGCAGTTGCATAGTCACGAATAGGTTGCCTTTTTCAATCCATTATCATGCCTCATAAACACTACGCGTTAACAAACGTGTCCATGACAATGGCTCCACGAAGCGTCACAAGGTATTTGTTGAAGCAATACTTTTTTTGCAGACTAGTTGGTTAATACTTGAAAAATCGACTTGCTGCGCAAACTTGAAGGAAATTGAGAAGGAAGACAGGAAAAAGCGCAGACCACTAACTATTATTGTAGTTTCATGAAGCCAATATATATCTATGCTACGCTACGCTTCCACGATGCGCCAGAAACAAAAGGTGCCGCATACATAGCCGTCACAAAACTCTTCAAACGTGGCAACCGCCACAATCTATACTGATTGGTGCCAATGCTTGGCGCAATACAAAGATAAAGAAGATAATAAATTAGATAAAACAGAAGTGTAGGCCTTGAGAATATGCAGTTTAAATTGTGGTGGTTGTCACGCTTGACGTATTTTGTGACGGCTATGTTTGCGGCACCTTTGGTTTTGTGCTCATCGTGGAAGCGCAGCGTAGCATGCCAATATTGGCTTCATGAAACGGCAATAAACAGTTGGTATTCTGCGTTCTTTCGTGTATTCCTTATCGTTTTCCTTCAAGTTTGCGCAGCAAGTCGATTTTTCAGGCCACAAGGTGTCGACACCGAATTCGATAACCCGGTATTTTTGCACCTCTTAGTGATACTACATAGGCTAAACGCGCCAGATTTTCACGCAGCGATGATTCACTCTTATTTAAATAAAATATAGTTGAGGCGCATTTATTCTCGTCATTTAGTGATTTTTGGACACGTGAAAGAGTACGCTTACGTATGTACGTAAACTTTTGCGTTTGGGGAGCTAAAATTTTTATTGATTAATTGATATGTGGGGTTTAACGTCCCAAAACCACTATATGATTATGACAGACGCCGTAGTGGAGGGCTCCGGAAATTTAGACCACCTGGGGTTCTTTAACGTGCACCCAAATCTGAGCACACGGGCCTACAACATTTCCGCCTCCATCGGAAATGCAGCCGCCGCAGCCGGGATTCGAACCCGCGCCCTGCGGGTCAGCAGCCGAGTACCTTAGCCACTAGACCACCGCGGTGGGGCCTAAAATTTTTTTTTATTGAAACGCGCGTTCGTGTATTACGGTAAGCACACCCCGATATTGGGATAACACGGTAACATTAAAGAATATACATACAAGCTAAACTGGCCTATTAGGCCCAGCCCTAAAACAGCTTCGCTGTTGAAACAAAAGTGACATTTGATGCGACAGCACCTTTTGCTCGGGGCAGTGTTCGTTCTGTGGCGTCCACACTCAGACTGCGCATGCCCATCTCTCTCTCATTCTGCTCTCTTACGCATGTATGCGCCCCTCCCCAATCTTTTTCTCCGCTACTGGTGCGGCGCCGCAAATCATTGCATGTAACTCTCTCCCTCTCTCTCTAAAGCTTTGTATGCCGAGAGGTGGCGCAAGTGCCTCGGCACAGTATACAGGACGCGTTTGCGGTGCTTCTGTCATTCTCTATGCAACAGTGTGCAAGAAGTAATGAACAGCTTCAACGTCGGTGCTATTGCAGCAGTGGTGCCACCGCCGCAGAGCAGAAGATGACTCGGGGAGCCGAACATAAACGTCAACGTCAGCAAGAAACTTCTACGGAATCAGCAAGGGCTTAGCACGCTGAAGTATAACGTTATCGTTATAAAGCCGACCGCGACCTCTGGGCTCGGAAAGCCGAGGCGCAACGGCAGCGTCAAGCGGCACCTGCTGATCCCCAAGCGACGAGGCCACGCGAGTCGGCGGACCGAGCAGCGATCGTCTTCAAGATACCGCACGCCCCGACGCTATGAATCACGTACTATCTTCGTGTAAAGACACAACAACCCTGTTCAAACTTCTGCTCTCTTCACAATACATTCTATTACTCTACCTTCTATTGGGTTGTATTGCCAAGTGAAACGAAATGGAAACTCTATGCGCACCCCCTGTGACTGCTTTCTTACAGCGCCCGTGTTCGTTGAAGCACGAAACAAATTTCGCGTGAAGAAATTGTGACATGTGGCTGGAGTAAGAGCATGTTCCCAATTTTGTGACCATTTAAATGGCCTATTTAGTGTCACGGAACACTACTTTTGTCAATTAATAATAGTGTTACAAACTACCATCTTCTTTATGGGCCGAATGTTCAAGACGTGCACCAGGGGTGTCCACCAGGAGCTTTGGCACGGCTTGACGAAATTGTCTTCTCTAATGTGGTCGGCTACTGGCCCACTCAGTAGGGCAGGGTACAGTAACGCGAACAGTACAAATAAGAATGCTGGTCCCGTCAATCTGTGATAAAAGAGAGAAAATGAATGAAGTGATTATTCACCTGTTTCAGTCTCATGAACTCCGCATAGAGTATATTTGGCAAGAAGCGTGCCTCGTACATATTTTCAATGCTAATTAAAACAAGGGAAATTACCAAGCTCATTAAGGCGCTAAAGTTGGGTGTCACGTTACTGGTCTCAGAGCGATGTTAAATAAAGCCTCACATTGAACATATCGAAGCCACAATGCCTTTTTGTCGCTTCGATCACATTACTTACTGCAAAGTGCTACAAAAATTGCAATGTTATAAAGGTAGTTAAAAGTACAATATGCAACTACGACTCATGGAGATGTTTCCTTCAGGACGCATAGTTTTATTGCAGCGTTTAGCTGTTTATTTTATTCATTTATCAAGTTCGCGTGAATTCAACGCTTTTTTTAAGCCGGCATGAGAATACGTTGTTCAATAAACAATCTAAACACCGGCTTTTTACACGTCGTGAAAAACGCCACGGTTTACTTTTCCATTATTTGTTTCATTTTCAGAAGTGCTCACAATTACTCATTCCTGCTTCGCGAAAGCAAATGAACAAATATTTAAAGAACTTTATTGATATATTTTACTAGCCGTGTCTGCCTATTCTTATAAATGTAAAAACTCGTAAAGAGAATATAGGCTGGCCTGACAGTTTCAATGCTTCCTGTGTAGCTCACACGGCGTTGCTTTTGCTAACAAGAAAATATTCTCACCTTTCATTGCTATTTTACGCTCGTTTTCAAGTAAAAAATATGCGAGAAGTATCAGGAAACTCTGACTTTGTGTACGCGTTGACGCATATCAACTCGTGATGACGGACTATCGTGCAGCCACAGAAGCAAGAGCAAGAGTCTATTGGTTAGGGTGCTCGACGTCTGACCCACAGGTCGTGTCATTGAATCCCGCCAACCCGGAATAACGCACACCGCACATTCATCAGAATCATTATGAACCCATGAATGAGGCCCCAGTTCATGTAGTTTTATTGGACGGTAGCTATAGCCCTTATATAACAGATTTCAGAACTGCCAGAATTTATGTGTCGCAAACCACAATATGCATGTTGGCTGAAGCAACTGTATTTTTTTTACTGTAGGATTTTTTGCCTGCTGCTTCCCAGACATCAGCCTTGTTTTGTACCTCTCGCTCAGTTAACGTTACAACAGCTACAGACAAGCTGGCTGTAAATGCTTTGGTAATACCATCTCACCCATACTATCTTCCCATGCTTCATGGCTCATACTACAAGTAGTTGATCTATTGCTGTAAAGTTTTACTGTGAAATTTCTTGTGGAGCCGTTTTAACATACTTGTTGGCGGTGCTAGAGACTAATTCACAAAGATCAACTGGAACTGTATTTGATGTGAATATGAATTCTGTGGGGTAAAAGACTGCTGGGGGCCCGAATCCATGTTGAAGTTGTGTAAATTTTTCCCCATATTGCTGAGTCTTTCGTTTTTAACGTGATATTCTTTTATGCGATGTTCGACCAAGACTTCTGTCCTGTATTGTTGTTACGGAAAATATGTAGAAGAAATGAAGACGATAAAATGACAAAAACCCTTCAACTGGAGTCGAACCCATGAACTCTCTATCAGTGACAACAGTTGCTGGGCTCGCCTTCTACTGCGCCACGATCACATAGCCTGGCAGCGTTACAAACGCGTCTTTCATATCTCACATTTTTCTTTTGTAGTCCTCTGGATTGGCGGATGGTGTCCCCGTCTGGAGTTAGTAAAGTGGTCCAGTGCATTATGAATGTGGCCTCCATAATAAGTTCCTTCACCACGTCGTTACTACGCATCCGTTCCATTCGACGCGTTTCGAAATGATAAATTGCAATTTTATCAAACCTTTGACACATCGCCAGCTGGAAATCTTAGCCCAAGTGTCATCATCGCTCATAGCATCAATTCATGTTTAAAAATCTCAGTGACATGCACCTGTTTCACCTGGCTATAGCGCCGCAACTACACTGTAAACGGCTATCAGAACACCACGTTCTCTCTTACACTCCTGAAAAAAAATTGTGGTTGGGCTAGAGGGCAAACACGAAATGCATTGCGTTTCCTTCTAGCTTTGCTATGGTGTTTAACATGCCGCAGAATGGACACCTTAGCGAAAGTTGTGCGTTCAGTGAGCGATGCTCTTCTGGCTGTCACACCACTTTATCTCATTCCGCTTTCACTGCCAACTACTATACAGCAACACCAAAGGCTTGTTTAGGCATGGACGTTAGTCTTCGGTAGAGTGTACCAGAACCGTTCAGTGGGGTGAACACGCCTCGCCACCTGATGCCTTCTGAGTCGACCGTAGTCGCACTGCTGCAGTCGAATAATACTGAAATCTCTGCTGGCTGCGCCCAAGAACTGCTATACCATTCGGCTCCCACAGCGCACTTTTTTGAAGCAGCTTTTTTTTACCTGCCTATCATTCGTGTCTAGCTCAAGCTGACGTAAGTCTTGAGATACGACTAGCCAAAGTACTGAACTTCAGCTCCATAATGGCCTTTTTGAGAGATCGAAAAATATTCATTTTTTAGGCTAAACTTTTAAAATGGTTAGTATGCATTAAAACTACGAGGAAAAATACCTGATCGACACAGTGAGGCGTTATAGTCTCGCCATCACTACACATGGTACTTGAAGTTAAATGTCCTTCACGTTTCTTTTGTACAGTGAACATTGGCAGAATCACGCAGTCTAAAAAAGCTGATAATGATTTTTTGAAGAGCACTCGGCTTGAAGTCGCAATAATTATATTGGGACTTCAACACTCTTGAGTTGCCCTGCATCATTAAAATGGTCTCATTTATACATGAACATTTTTATAAATTCCTGCTTTTTTGATAAATACCTTCGACAAATGCTGCAAATTAGTTCTTGAGCTGAAGCTATTGCTGCAAGGTATGCTAAATGTAAAAAAGTTAAACTAGCTGATTTTCATGGTGGAGATCCCCGCTCTCGCTGCAATTTAGCCTAACTCGTTACTGAGCTAGTTTGTGCATAACTTTGAGTTAATATACGCCGAACCACATCCAGAAGAAAAAAAAAGGACACAGAAGAAACAGAAAGAGTGGGCTTTTTTCTGAATCATTTTGTATTAATTCTTTCTTCTTTCCTTGGTCAGGCAACTAGTACATTGCGAGTAACAGAGCCAATTTAGTGAAAATTAGTTGTGCTCTGAAAGCTGCGTACTGAAATAAAATTAAAATACCCTCTAAAAAGCACGGCCAACCAGGTGGTCGTCAATAGAGGCGGAGAAGGAGTGAATTAGAACCCGCCCTACCCTGGAGTTATTCGATAAATTAAGATTTCAGGTGATAATAAATCCTTACACGTATTCACGGTCATCACCAGTTGCCAAAGTTAGCCGTTGTGCACCCCCCTCCCTTAAAAAACAAATCCTGGGTAGTACTGCGGCGCATGTTTACTCTTGGTGAAGTTCGGCAGAGCGTGTCTCTTAACAAACGCGGAAAGAAATTTTCACTTTTCGAGAGTATGAGGTCCCAAACGTGCTTGGACGAGGTTTGCGCCACGTACAAATAGCGGCCGTTCTAAAGGGCTTTGCAAAGATATTGTTAATTGGGCGGGGCGGGAGTGGGTGTGCGTTAACTGCGTTTGCATGTACGTAGGCAACTTAAGAAGTTGAATTTCGCAAAACATAAAGCCCCACTGACTGT